AGTAAATCATATTAATAATTGAATACCATTGTGATATACAAATATGTAAATATGTATATACATACATTAATGGATCATATTGTCATAATTCATTTAATCTCACAGTTTATAATATTAACTTAAATTTTAAACCAGTTTATATACCAGACACGCCTACTAATTCAGGTGATAAACTGAAATTACATACTTATATATATACTTATTTAAAATTATTAACTATTATTCATGCATGATAATTAAAACTTTAAATATTACACTAATCTATTAAATTATATCGTTTAACACTTAATTACCTCACAAATTAATAAAAAAAAGGGTAATTATTAAAGGGGTAGATTACACTAATATTATTTTGCAGTATAGGCATCTATTATCACATTAATAATGATTGACCACATCTGTTCTTTTGGATCCGATAAAAGTAAGATGAGAAAATGTTCACAGAATCACAAAAAAAAAAATTAAAAATTACTGGTACGAGTACCTTATAAGTATGGGTAGAGTACACATGCACCAATATTTATTGTTACTTTATGTGTATACAATCAAAAAAATATTAATTTATAAGTACTTAATGATTCTTGTATTGAATAAGGTTAGCAAACCTGATATAAGTAAATGAATAGGGGATTGTATACTTAATAGTTCAATATTAAGAAAAAAAAAATGCATCCTTACATTGAGATGAACTTACATAAACGAAAATCCCACGAAAAACCTTTACTTATAAATGATGAAGAAAAAGAAAAGAAAGAAGATAACAAGTTTACCTTTATTTTATGCTGTGGGAATGTTTGAGTAAGTATATATATATATATATGTACACATACTTATATTTACAAAATATATTTAAAAGAAAAAAGACACAAGATTTATTTTAGGCATGGGAACAACGCCCTTGAAATATGAATTTCACTCAATTAAGGTATAAAAAATTTTGTAAGAGAATTGAAATTTTTTAAATATAATCTTATTACTTCTATTTTATGAGGCTCATTAGAGGGATCAAAATTTTCAAAAATTTTTTTTAGGCATTCCGTACAATTTTGATTTTCCACATTTACACAATTAATAATTTTTTACGCAAGGCAATTACTAATACTGAATGAATTACAAATTTTATATACACTCAGGGAAAGTGATCAATTAGCAGGTGCTCAATAATATAAATTTGACGCTCAATTTATTCAGATCCATGAAAATGAAACAAATTGCACACCGAACGTTCTTTAGTTTATTGTAAGTAAGTACTTAATTCAATAATTAAGAGATACTCAAATTTATTTAAATATATTTGAGCATTTATTTCTCGATATTAAAATGGCAAACCGTATACCCTTAATCAACTTAAAAATCACAAAAAAGCGTAGAACCAAAAAAATCACTCAATACTTTTTTTTTTTTTGTTCAAATGTACAAAATCCGAAACAATTTTAAATAATACTTATACTAATTGTATTATAATGAAAACAGTATAGGGAATTTATGGACTTACTTATCACTAACTTGCGGTACCTACCTACATTCTTAAGCATGCATTAGCATACAACTTTAATATTTAACTTTTTCCGAATAAATTACCATTCAACTTATATTACAGATTTAAGTAATTATTTTTGGAAAATTCTTTAGCATTTGAATTGCAATTTACACTGTAGATCAGTCTCTATCATAACCTCTACCATAGTAGTAAAACATTCATACTTCCTAGTATTCTTTGACTTCATACAAATCCACAACTCATTTTCGTACTTCCTGGTTTTACTGGATGGAATAATTTGTATTGATTTGTGTAATTGTTTTAATATTATATTTAGTATAACTAAAGTCTAATATATTTCTATTATCGGCGAAAATTTTAGTTGTTCATCAAAATAAAATCGAATATAATTTAATTCTGTACAATACGTGTTGCATGTAGTCGTCAGCCAACTAAGAGTTATTGTGTAATTTCATAGAAAAAATCATAAAAAAATAATTTTTACATAGACATTGTAAAATTATTATTAAAATATTTTCATTACAATATTTTTACCTTTACTATTAATCCAGTTAAAAACCGGTTACAAAATGGTGTAAATAAACAAAAATAAAAATTAATAAAAAAAAAATAAGAAAAGCTTTATTAAATTTTGTTTTTTTATTTGTTTATTTTCTTCCTCTCTATTTTTCTTTTTATTCTATTCAGTAAAAGAAAGGTAAAGTTATGGTAAAAGAGAAAAATTTTACAACTGCTTACTTGCATTTTTACCTTAACAAAAAACTTGCTATCAAAACTCTTACATTATTAAAATCACAACAAACAACAACAAACTTTGAATATTTTTTTATTATAAAAAATAATAATAAAAATTTTAATTACAAAAAAAAACATACGTAAAAAGAAAAATGTAAAAACAAAAAATTTGTAATAATTTCAATAGGAGTTAAAAATGTATAAAAAGTAAACTATGTAAAATATAAGACTGCTATTATTAACCGTTATTATTATTTAATTCCTGCTTTTAAAATTTTGTAATCTTTTCAAAATTAACTCTTACTTTTCTTTCTCATTGTTTTATTCAGCTTGTTTGCTTTGTTTTGACTTATGAATGAATTTTTTGTGTTTTGTAAAATAAATTTACTTACTTAAATGAATATTATAAAATTGTTTTAGGTTTTAAATTATTATTAAATGAATTGTATGTATGTGTGTAAATTATAACAGATGTTGTAAGAATACTCGACTAGTCAGCCATATTCAATGATTTAAATTTAAAATTTAATTCAAGTTTTTGTATACTTAAGTATAAGAAATTCACATTAAGGAAATGAAGGAATTTTGAAATTTTCTTAAACTTTTTTTTTTAGATTTATTGCAAGTAATACTAAAATTCCTGCAATATTTTTACAGTCGTAAAATACTTTTACTTGTAGTTTTTGCAGCATATTTATAATTAACCTATAATAATTAAATTTTTCATAATATTATATTGGCTATATCAAGTAAGAGTAAATTAAATTTGATTTTTTTTAAAATTTCTATCCTGTTTTATATAAGTAGTATTGTTATACATAAGAGACTACTTAATGTTAAACGATAAGTAATTAAGTAAAAGGTTTAATAATTTCAAGATTTATAAAATATAATAATAATATAATTTTGACAAATTAAATTGTTATTACTCTTATAACATATATGTGTGTATATTCATATAATTGTAGATTAACACACAAAAGTAATTCAATACAGTAGTTTTACACACAGAAAATTTTTTTGCTTCTAAAACGATTTGTCATTTTACTATAAGTAACAAAATCTATACCACTAGCATTCTTTTACAGTTAAATGCTTTGTTCACAATATACAACATCAATAACGCTATGCGTAGCAACTTTCTATTGTGAATACAATTACTAAACTTATAAGTTTTTGCTATAAGTATAATTCAAATGTTACTGCGTTACTGCTAGCGTGGCCTATTGCTTTGAATTGTAAATCAAGCACAATAAAAAATTAAATTATAAGTATAATAAAGATGTTATAAAATTCCCATAAAATTATATTTTTACTAATCATTGAATAATTTTGACTATATAATGGAAGTTTTGTTATTATCTAAGAGGATCAACTATTGCAATATAGCATAGTTTTCAATTAAGAAATTATATAATTTACATAGTAGGCACTCTCACTTATTGCATACATTTATGTATGTAACTATGTATAAGCATTTAGATGCATTATATATATGTATATATTTTTTTTGGTCACTGCACAATTTGGCTAAGTAGGTTTTTAATATTGTTAAATGTTATTCACACACAGTGCCTTAATTATTTTTATATAATGTTATGTTAAAATGTAAAGTACAATAAAAAAAATTATAAACAAGGTAACGCTGGAACTCAATCTAAAAATCTAAGTATTAATATTTCTCTAAGTAAATGCATTAAAATTTAAATTGTTTTAAACTTTACATTAAGTACTTATATAAAATCATTTAAAATAACTATAATTACTAAAATTAGTACCTATGGTATACTTATTTAAATTTGGAAACTCTTTTAACAAATAATTAGACTTAACGAAAATATTACCGTTAATAATTATTTAAAATGTTAATTATGATATTTAATACAATCTAATTTTCATACATAAGTTTCACAGAAATAAAATAATAATTTAATTGCCTTGTTCATAATAATTTACAAAATAAAAGTAATCATTGCTTTATTTTAGTCTTATTAAATTTAAAATGAATTAAAAATATTTTAATTACTTAATTGTAATCAAACCACCTGACTGCAATGGTTATGACACCGGCCCTTTAACTTAAGGGTCTCAAGTTCAAACCCCGGTCAGATCACTGTATAAAAATTATATTCAATATTATATAACTTAATATACAATATTAATAATTGTTATACAAGTAATTTTCAAATATTCATAATATTTAATATAAATAAAACTACGGCAGGCTAGTCACCTAGTTAACCTTATGGCGCTATGAAAGTAGGGCATGATATCATACACTAGCCCTATGCTCCTCCTAGGAGTGAAGAAGGGGAAAAAAAAAACAAAATTGTAATCAAATACTTTTTTTGTAAAAATTATTCAATTAGTTTTACCATTATTAAAAATTTAATATGGGTAAATAGTTACGTATCGCACATTTGATGCAACAGTGATATATGTGAGCAACTTAAAAACTACGATTTCTGAATTACGCAGGAATAGACACTTGAAACATTTATTTTTTGTATTTTTTGCACAAAAACACCATTTCTCTATATAGCTTAAAAATTGTCGTTCACAATTAATTGTAAAATAATACTATAAACACTTGTAACGAGAAAATTGATCGAAATTTGCAACGGGCCATTTTTTTCTTAAATATGTGCAAAAATATTGAGATATGACGAATTGTTGCAGCAAACAAGCGATATAATGTATGTACGTGTAATACTGCAACAATTATTTATAAATATTTTATTTTTAACAATTATAATTCACCTACCTTATTTATATTTATTATTAAATATTAAAATTTATTCCTTTTAATTTTTGACGAGCTTAATTTCATAATTGAAATATTCACAAAATTTTTTCTCTCCTTAATTACTTATAAATATTAATTTTTTTTTGCAATTTTTTAATTTAAATGCATAACTATTTTTACATGTATATTTTTAATTATTTTTATGTTATATATACTTAATTTTTGTACATAACAATGTTTGTAATTTAATTATATGTGTTATACTTACTAAAACTATAACATTTATACATTTGACACAAATATTTTTTAAATAACATTGAACTAATTAATTAATTTTTTTATTTTATTTTATTATTATTTTTATTTTTTGTAATATAAATGAGTAATACACACCAAAAATTTAATAATTTCAATTTTTTTTTTAATTAAGTATAAACTAAATTAATTTTTTATTTATAATATTTTAAAATATTATTTAACTACACACACATAAATAAAATTTTATAATTAATTAGTATTTTTTTTTTATTTTATAATATTTTCTTCTTATTAGTAATTAATTAATAAAATAATTTAAATTTCAATTTTTTATTCGAAAATTATTTTTTTTTTTAAATCTTATTTAATTTTTTTTTTGTTCACAATTTATTAAATTTCTTTTCTTCTTTTACAATATTTTACTATTTAATTTTTTATTTACAAATTTAATTAATTTTTTTTTTCTTATATTTCAATTTTTATCTTAAAAAAATCACATCACTATTAATAATAATAAATTGTATTAGAAGAAATCAAGAAACACAATACAGAGTAAAAGCAAAAAAAAAAATCACGGCGCGGCGCTTTAATCTTCACCATCATTTCGACAAGGTGTAGTGAGTAGTGATGAAACAAACAAAAAATATTTCGGTTCGAAAAGTAAAAAAAAAAAATTTAAAACAAAAAAGAAAAACACACAGTCACACAATTTGATTTTGTTTTGATTAAAATTTATGCAAAAAAAAAAAAAAAACAAAACAAAATCAACAGAAATTCAAAAAATTTAATTCAAAAACATTTTTATAAAAATTTTTTTAATCCCGTTTTATTTACCGACTTGTTACTTAACAAATCAACTGCTTACAGATAACTGACAGGTTTTACAGTTCACTCTCTTCAACTAAACAAAAATTTTTATACTTGTTTGTTTTTTTTTTTTTATTTTATATTATTATTGTAATACAAAACATATAACAAAAACAAAAGAACAAAATATAAGAAGAATAAAAAAATAAATTGAATAAGAAATAAATTACATACATACAAATATAATTTGCAGATCTGCTTAGTTTTATTATAAACATATATAATATAGATTATTTCCATTTTGTATAAGTATAATATAACAATATAAACATTTATGTGTAATACTAGTATATAATATAATTTCTGTTTCTTTGCAGATTAGCTACCACCGCTTATACAAAATGAAACAATAAACAAGAAAATTTTAATGTATAGCTTGATAATAAAATTATAAAACTTGTTTCGCCGCGCCGAAATATGTACCTGTGATTGTGGTATGCTGACATTTAATACAATACAATTTGTAAATAGAACTTGTTAAATGAAAGTGAGTCGATAGCGACGGCTTGTTATTAAAAATATAAATTTAAAATTTTCTGTTTCCTTTTCTTTGAAAAACTTGAGTGAGTGAGTCGACGGCTTAATTTAAAAAAAAAAATAAATGTGAGGCGCACAGTATATAACCGATGACATTATTTTATAAATGATGTTTAAAAATTGCCATATATTTGTTTTTGTCATTTTAAGACGGCAGGTAAAAATTTGCAAATAAAGTTTTTTTTTTACTTTTTTTTCAAATGTCAAAAAACTAAATGACTTTAGGGTTTACATAATATTATGTATAATTAACATGACTCATTTTTTCGTGACAGACTTTTGGTTTTTTTGACAAACAATTCTAATGTAGAAAATTTCAAGGTAATTATGTGAATTTTTCATATTTACAAAAATTTAACGTTAAATTCTTAGAGAAAATTCAATTTGTCGAACGTAATTTCTGCGAAATGTAACTATTTTCATCTGATATATATAGTCGATTAAAATACCCCAAAAATTAATCAATTCGACATGCAAATTATTTTTTGAAAATCGATTCAGTTTATACGCCATGTGATATAATGTGAGATTTGTTTCTGTTTGACACACATTTTATTAAAAATACCTTGTATGTGGAAAAGCAATAAGTGGCATTTATGCTGAAAATTCGACAAATAAAATTTGATGTGAAAACGAGGCCTACCATATTTATTGTAACCAGAGTATAGGAGAAAAAAAAGAGAAATTCAAAAATTTGCAGATTTCTGTTTTGGGAATTTTTGTTTTTACATATGTAAATGTTACAGATTTTCTTCACGTGTTAATTTTTATTTACTCAATAAAACTGTTGCAGCTAATGGAATATAAGTAAATTACCTACCTGTTTTAATAGTGAAACGTATATATGTACATACATATGCATTTTATATTATTATGTTTAGTATCTTCATATTAATGCCTTGAAAACAAAAAATTGCATGTATGTTATACACTTAATGTAAGGTAAGGTATATAATAATATTTACATGTTTCTTGTTTTAATTTTCTGCAAAGCATGATACGAGTGTTACATATTTTATATGCATATTATGCTCAATACAAACTTAAAAAATAAGTGTTATACAAAATTAAATCAAATTAAAAATTTTACTGAACTGTTATACAAAGTTGAAAAATGCAGGCTATAAAATCAAAAGCATCATAATAAAATTTTTAACAAATTAAAGCATGTAGTTTTGTTTGTATTGTTATAATGTATAACACTATACCAATACTTATACGTTTTTGCAGTCGTTATATTCGTGGTATAACAGTAGCAAGAGGTATGTACATATGATGAACGTATTTATTGTTACACATTTTCCATATGCAAGCATTTTTTATTTTGCAGATTTTCAAGTACTTAAATTTCCCAAAATAATAAATCAACAGGTGAAGAAGCATGAGATAAAAAGAAAAATTTTTATTTCCCCAATGTGATATTTTTCATCCTAAACATATGCAAAACTGTTAGTGGAATTAAAAATCTTATCTAGTGACAAAATTAATCGGATAAAATTGATTTGAATTTAATTGAAAGATTAAAAATTTTAAAAAATCAGAATGCTTAGTGACTAAATAAAAAATTCACGATATTAAAAATTAAAATAGTACGAAAATTTCGAATATGATATTGTGATGAAATTGTGAATGACTTTATTTTAAAATTGACTTGAGTTCTCGATAATATTTTTTATATTTAAATTTTTATTTGGTTTGTTACATAAAAACCAAAGTTTAAACAATAGCATTTTTACGGTCAGAGAGACGGTACTTAAAAGAAGATAATTTATAATCCTCAAGGAATCAGAATAATTTCGTTACGGAATACGTAAAGCCTTTCCTTTATAACTTTAAATTTCATGAATTATGGAAAGTATCTGGGAAAATATCAAAATTCTCAAACTATTTTTAGCAAATCCAAATCACAAAAATTTGCAAATCTGATGATGTCCTACTTTACGTTTTTAAAACATCTTCGATTTATAGTATACATTTTCAGAATGGGAAGCGTGGAAACTTAAAATTTTTACTTTATTTTTAAATTTTATTTTACATAATAGATGAATTTTTTATATATGTAAACGAATAAATAATTTTTTAAGGAGATCAATGAAACGTATAAATAACAATGAAATCAAAATAAAATAAAATAGAAAATCCTAATTACGTCAAAACTTTTGTTAAAATTTTATAAAAGATTTATTATGATCCCAAAATATATATTGATAAATAACTACCTACCTATATAAAACATTTAAATTAGGGTCTATGTAAACGTGATGTTAAAGTTTTGATGTGTTGGATTAAATATGGGAAATAATATGCAAGGTGGGTGAATAACTGAAAGTGTTGAAATTAATATTGAATGATGTGGAAATTCTAATTCAAAAAAGAGTAATTTTAAATATATCCCTACTTAAATGTTGGAGAATAGAATATCAAAGAAAAATTTATAAATAATTCAAGGCTATAATAGAAATTAAGGTTATTTTTAAGAAAATTTTTGGAAAAGATGTAAAGAAAAAATCCAGGATATGGTTACGTAACTAATGAATACAACCATTAGGAAATATTTAAACCCTTGCAGTAACTAAAGAAAATCATGTGTCCAAAATTCCATTTTTTGGAACTTGAACAAGAAAAAAAAACAATGAATCGAATATAATCTACAAAAATTCCGGATATATACACTGGAAATTACAACAGTTTTTAAAATAAGCACACAAATACCCCATCAATTATTCGAGTATAGGACCTTAGAAAACTTAATATTCCTAAAAATATTAACTTCCATTCCGACATCATTAAAACTATATGTGAAAATTATATCTAACAATTTGAAAATACATATAATATTAAATTATTTTGATTTTAAGAACGGAATTGAAAAGTAAGGGCCTAAAGTTAACATAATTTATAAGCCCATAAATTAAAAAACTGTACTTATAATTATAGACATATACAGATAATAAATGCAACCTCTATGTATAACAACATTTTCTTGTTTGACATATTATATTCCATTAAATAAATTAATTAATAATTAAATTTAATTTTAATTAATTTCTATAATTACTAATAAATTATATTGGTACAATAGAATGAATAAAATATTATAATATTAATTAAACAATGAAAAACATATTTTTTACTTAAAAATTTACAGTCTTTATTATATAATATTAATAATGAGTTGAATACATTTATATACAAAAAAAAAAAAAACAAATAATAATAATAAGTACATTTAATTACATTTTCAAATATTTTATAATATTTTAATTATACAAAAAATAAAAAATATAATACAAAAAAGAAAACTTAAAAAATAATTATAAAATAAATATGAAATTATGCAGAATGTGAATATAAAATAAAATTAACATGGTTTATTGATAAAAAATAATTTAAAATAATAAAGTAATTTAATAATATTAATAAAGAGACCACATTTAATGTTAGGTTAGAATATCCAACTACTTGCTTCTACATTCAAATATTTTAAAAGAATTCCATTTATTGTGAGAGAAAATTTAATCTTATTTTTTATAAAAATTTAAAATGCGCTCCCTTATATCTTTATTAATTAATTACTCTATATGAAAACTTATACAAGAATTAATTAGAAAATTTTAATTTTTTTTTTTGTGTTAATTTATAAGAAAAAAAAAATTAAATTTGTAATTAGAGAATTATTTTAATTACATAATTACATATTAAATAGGGGTTAGTGAATAATTTACCCTTTATTAGATTATTCCATTATTTTCAACTAAAATATTAGGGTAAGTACAAGCTAAAATAATTTAGAAAATAAATCTTCTTACTAAAAACTGAGTTTAACGCCTGATCGTGTATCTCGCTATTTTACTCTTTAATTGAAAAAATGAATAATCTTATTGGAAAAATGAAATATCTATTAGAAAATACTAAGAATTCTGATTTGGAAGTGAATAAACTGTGAAATGAAAAAGCGAGATACACGATTAGGCTGTTAAAATTATTTTTGAAAACATTCATGAGTACAAACAGAAAGTATACAGAATAGTACAAACAGAATTGTCTTTCTAACATTTATTTTCGATATCTGAAATTTCAGTTAAGTTAAAAACGTATCATTGACTCTTGATTTTGAGACAGAAGATTGTCAGAATTTTTTGAATGTTATTACTTAAACTAACATAATATTATATAGAAATTCTTGGATAATCAATATTCTTAATTTCTTTAAAATTAATAATTTATATGAGTATAAGAAATCAGATATTTACACAAAAATAAGAATAAAAAAAAAACATTAAGTGTGTTTAATGAACAAAAGTTAATTTTAACTATTCTAATATACAATCATTATTATATAGAAACTTAAATTTAAAAATCATTTTATAGTTATAGCAGTAACAGGCAGTAGTTAAGTATTTATCCTTCAAATACTCTAATAAAATTTTCACAAAATCTTTTTACTTCATTTATTAGCGCATATTTAATAAAAACAAAGATCTTAATAATATTATTTTTATTAAAGTTATTTGCAAGTATAACAGAATTTTACCTATATATGCGACTGATAGATACAATAAAAAAACTGCAATAACTATTGCACTTAAAGAATTTTTTTATTCAATTCTTAAAAAAATAAATTTAAACATAGAATACAAAAATCTAGTTAAAAAAATCTTTTGTCGCGCCATCATTAAAATAGTAAAGATATTTATGTACTTAAAACGAAAATAATAATTTAAAATTATGAATCAAAAACAATAAAAGGATCAAATAACCACAAAAGGATCATAAAATCAAATTTATTTTCTTTGCAATTACTTGGAATCTAGCTCGATGGTTTTTTTTTGTTTTTTAATAAATTTGATTTCATATCCTTTTTTTTTTGTTTTTGGTTCCGAAACAAAGCAATTATTATTGTTATCTCTATGATATTTTTAAGTTTTAAATTGAAAAAAAAAAAATTATTTACGCTTATTAAATTTAATAATTTTTTTTTTATTTTATTATACAATTCCTGAGCACAAAGAAAAATTGCGATTTTTCTGTATAAAAGTTATGGTTAATGCAATTTTAGTGCTAATAGTTTTACAACAAATAAGAAAAGCGATGTAGGTACTTAACAGTTTATTAATTTTGATTAAACTAATTTAATAGTAATTTTATTAATCTAACATGTACTGTGAAATTGGCCAACAATTTTTTAAAATAATTCAACTTTAAAATTAAAATTTTTAACATTTTAAGAGTCGCATAATATAGATTTCCATATTATGTAATTACATTTCCTGAAAATAAGTTAAATGGTCCTATATATTTAAAAAATAATTTTGTGGAATCAGATGATGTGAAATATTTATTGGAAATATTAATATAAAACCAAAATTTAGAGCCACATATTGTATTTCACATTTCCACTTTTCGGGTAGGAAGAAATGAATGAGTATCATATTACGATATACTTATTCTCCTAATATAATTTTCAAGTACAAAGAAAGCGTACAAAACTGTATTTGTGCAAAATTCAGTCAGAACTCAGTTACTTTGTCCAAGAAAATTATAAGTTTATTGGATATTTTAACATTTTTACTGGATATGCGTAATCATATATGCAAACAAACAACTAAATCTTATTGGAAAAATGACATACATATATAGCTATACATATATGTAAACAGAGCTGTGATTTGAAAGTGACTACGAATTTGACTGGGATACAGAATGGAGCTACAAACTATGCAATTTTTCTTTGTGGTACATTAACTATAATATTACATTATTTCTACAATTATGGTATATATATATAGCTGCTTATTAATTACTAATGTTTGTAGATACAGTTTATATATATGTATATGTATGCATGTATTTATGTATATGGTATTTACATATTTATAAACTATATTATAATAATTATTTTATGTTTTTAAACTGGTTTTCCAATATTTCCACTTCTATATGAATCATTTGATGATGATGTTGATGTTAAATAATCTACATGACTACCATTATTTGATTGTTCTTGTCTTTCTAAAAAACTATCAGCAATAGTTCGATCTAAACCAGTATATGTAAATGCTTTACGATTTTCAGCATCTGAATCAGATTTACGACGTTGTCGACGATTTGCATCCATTTTACTTGAACGTTTTTGACGTGTTCTATTTTGACGTTGTGAATGTACAATATGTTTTGCATAAATTTCTGAAGATGGTCTTGAACCTGGTTGTATAATACGATATGAACCTGGCATTGGTGGTGTTGCACCATATGGTGATGGAAATGGAAATCCAACATTTGGTGGTGGTGGAGGTGGTGCTGCAGCAGCTGGTAATAAAATTCCTGGATTACGACAACCTGGCGGTAACATTTGTGGTGGTAACTTAAATTATACAAAAGAAAAAAGAAAAGATTAATTATCATTTTCACAGAGTTTAATATGCGTTCATACACGAATTTGTATATTTTAGTATCAAATATCTTAAAATAGTATAATAGCGAGTAATTCAACACTCCACGTTAATATAAAAAAGACTTTATACCTATTATAAATATTCTTACCCCATTTCCTGCTGTAGCCGGAACTAGCATAATTGGTCGCGATTTTTTCACAGGAGGTGGTTGAGGTGGAGATGCTCTTTTAGCTGAATACATCCACATAGCCATTAATTTATCAATGTTTTCACCAGAAAGAACCTATCCAAATAAAATATATAAATGTATATTAAAAAATTATTACAATCAATTATTTCCGCCCAGTTTCAAATTTTAGAAGCGATGTGTTATGGAATTTTTAGTTATGTAATTCACTTTATGTGATTAAAACTTCAACTTTCTCTTTGAGAACCAATTGATGACTTGTTACGTGATGACAATTGGAAAGATACTTCTGTAAGAAGTGTTTATGTTGGGGTAATTTAAAAAGTTTAATTTACAAAAAACCGTATATTATTTTCATTTTCTTAATTTTGTCCCGTACAATATTGCAGAATATTATTTTTTATATGTTATTATATAATAACAGTTGAAAACCTGTTATATGTATAACAGGTATTTATACTAATATAAATATTAGTTAAGATACATATTTAGTGTTTATTATTCGCTACATATTGCAAGGGGGTTGAAAAATTTTGAATTTATAATGCTGAAGATAGAAAGCAAAAGCTTTCGTTATTAGAAAAAAAAAACGAGTTGCAAACAAAAATTCCATAGGTACTCGTATATGCAATAATAAAAAAAATATTGTTAAATACTTGATGAATTTACCAGACCAGACCTGTAAGAATTTTCATTCTTAATAGTGTGTTATTGTGAATGAAAAAAAGCAAATTCAAATTCAAAATAATTTCCCATTGTTAATTCACAATAGTAAGAATTTTTTTTTTTAAAAAAGTTTTACCTTTTCTTTTTCTGATGCTGACATCGAATTAAAATATTCTTCAACTTTGTGTTGATTTAACATTGTTGAATTATTAGCAGAAATAATATTTTCCAATAATTGAGCAGTTTCATCTCGTCTGTGAAGTAAAAAAAAAAATATTTAAAAAAAAATGTTTGCCATAATTAATGTTATAAGTATGTAGCTATTAAAAATTAAATGTAATCTAATAAAAATAATTAATGACATCTTGTTGTTTTAGTAATTTTTTCTTACAAAATTAAAATAACCTAAACTTTTATTATTAATACACATACGGCATAACTAGATATTCTAATACATGAGGCAACACTGTTTCTGCAAATTTACATTTTTGACATTTCTTATATAAAAGCACGTTAAAGCTTTTCTTTTAAAAAGATTTGCTTGAATGTGACGTTTGCTGTCACTTTTTATTTTGCTTTCTTGGAAAAAAGTTGTGTAGAAAAACAAGTGTACATTAAAACTAAATTTTTTAATAATAAAAAATAAAATTAATATTTTTATAATCGTATATCAATAAAATAAAAATAAAATTACCAAATTTTATAACTTGATTGCATTTACTTCAACATATTATTCGAGTTTTTCAAAAAAAAAATTTTATCGATTTAAACACAAAAACATTACGGAAAACAGTGTACCTATCAAGTGAATTGGAATTTCTTTGATTTGAGAAATCAACTCGGATTTCTTCATTTCACACTAACACTGCTATTTTTTTTTGTAGGTTTTTAACATAACGATAGTAAAGTTTGATGACCGCAGAAATATTGATGTTTGTTTAACTAAGTAAGGAATCAAAAAATTCTAAATTAAATTAGATTTTTTTTTGTTTAAAAGAAAAATAATGCAGTAATTTGAAATGTTTACGTGGCTAAAAAACTAAATTTAAAAATTTATAAATAAAAAAGAAAATAAATGTATTATTATAACTTTTACTTTTCCAACAAAGATGAATCATAATTTTATATTTTCAATCAATAAAGTGTGGCAAATTAAGTGTAAACTTTTTTCACATATCTACATTCACAACATTTAATTTAATGAAAATATTTATTTATAGTAATAACGCGCTAGTAAAACTTAGATAAGAGAAAAAACTGAATATCGGTTTTGGTTTTTGATTTAAATTAAGAACAAATTCGAAAATGTTTGGAAAATTCCGTAATCGTTATATGTCTGGTTTACCACAATTAGTGGGACCGGTTTCACCTCCAATTTTACATCCCCAACCACCATATTCAATTTCTGGTAATAATAGTGGCCGTCCTTCAAACCGTCATCTTCCTGATAAATTTTCATATTCACGTCCATCCTTTTTACAACTTCTTACGTTAGATGAATTAAAGGCATCAGCAGATCATAACGTAAGACCAATTATTGTGCCCCGTGATATCAGCGTTTTACCATGGAATACGGGTTATGCTGAATGTGTAAATTCTGGTAAGAGTGAATGGAATGAAGATCAAGCTCAATTTTGTCGACAAGTATTAAGTCATCCATTAAAAGAACATCCTGATTTACCATACATATATTTCGGAATTTTTGATGGTCATGCAGGTTATGGTGCAGCATTAGCAGCTGCAAATCAATTTCATCATATATTGCATGAAAAATTGGTTGACATCATAGATATGTTAATGCCAAGACAAGAAATATTACAAAGAAAGCCAGATTTTCCACATCCTATTAATTTTCAGAGAACAGTTACAAAGGATGAACTAATAATTGGTGCTTTAGAAAGTGCATTTGTTGATATGGATGCATTATTAGCTGAAGATAGATCAAAATATCGAAATGCTGGTGGATGTACAGCATTAGTTGCATTATTTATATATGGTAAAATGTTTGTTGCAAACGCCGGTGATAGTAGAGCTGTTTTATGTCAAAGAATTTCAAGTGAAGTATTGAGAACACATCAAATGAACTGTGGCATGGGTGATGAGGAAAAGCAAAACGGTGAAACAAGTAACGGAGAAAGTGAACCAATTTCAAAACAGTAAATCATTTTCTTTCTCACATTAAAATAATAATCTATAAATTTCATATTTTTTTCAGCCAAGATAAAAAACATATGCATATATTTCCAATTCCATTTTCATATGATCATACACCAGATACAGAAAGACCTCGTTTAATGTCTACAGCAAAATTAAATCCAGTATTAATGGGTGGCGAATATGTAGCAATGGAGTATGCCAAACGGCCTGTTGTAAAAGATTTAGGTCAACGGATACTTTATCGCCAAGGAACAATGAAAGGTTGGGCTTACAAGACTTTAACTCATGAAGATTTAAAAATGCCAATTGTTACTGGTGAAGGAAAGCGTTCAAGATTACTTGGTACAATTGGCGTTACACGTGGTTTTGGTGATCATGATTTAAGAGCTCTTGGTAGTGGGCTACCAATTAAACCATTCCTATCGCCACATCCCGATGTCATTTATAGAGATTTATCAAAAGTCATATCAATTATGGATGACAATAATCAAGATGGTGATTATGGCATTTTAATTATGGCGACAGATGGATTATGGGACGTTGCAGATACAGAATCTGTTAGTATGACTGTATTTAATACTTTATCAAAATATCCAACAGAAAAACATCGTTATACAATGGTTGCTCAAGAATTAGTAGCTAAATCACGAGGTAGAATTAACAATTCGGGACATTGGCGTTTAGCAGATAGTAAAGCAGCTGCAACAGTTGATGATATATCAGTTTTAGTTATACCAGTTTACCAGTATTATAGAGAATATTTAGATTGGGAACGAAAATGCCGAGAAGATGCCGAACGTAAGCGTAAAGAACAAATTGCTGCTGCAGAGGAAGCTGAACGTAAGCTTAAAGAGGCTTCATTTGCAGCTGCTTTAGCTGAAGAAGTTAAAGAGAATGGATCTACAGGAAGTGAGGGTGCCGATGAAGAAAATGATGAAGAAAACGATGATAATGACAATGAAACCGAAATAAAAGATAGCGAAACTGAAAAAGAAAATAAAATTAATATAAACGAAAGTGAGGCTTTAAACGATATTAATAAGAAATTACAGGAAATAAATACTGAAATTCCGAGTGATCTTGATATAAATGAAAGCAACTGTGATATTGATGATGTTGAATTTAATGTCGAAAAATCAATAACTGCAGTTACAAATGATAAAAATAACTTTAATGCTGATAATAACGCAAATAATTCCAGTTAATTAATTATAGATTTAATTTGAAAATAATTATGTATTTAAAAATATAACATATGCAGAACATATTTGAAAAAGCTAGGCTTAATTAATTATTATACATATTTATGTTCTTTAAGTTTTTTTTTCCAATTTATTTAACAATTTTCAATTTAAGACGAATTTAGCTATGTTTCTTTTTTAGAAATATGTTTGAAAAACTTAATATAATGAAATATATGATTTAAGCACAATAAATTATGTATATATATGTATATATATTGAATATATTTATATTTATAATGATATATAAATTAATTATAGCTTTAGAATAAATATTTAACAAAATGTTCATTAAAGTAAAAAAAAAAAATAACAAAAAAAAAATAAATATTCTAATCTAAATGAAAGAAAAGCAAGCAAACGATAATAAATGAATTCAGATTTTTAAACATTATAAAATTAATTGAGAATAAAATTAATTTTATAAAAATTAAACGTTTAAATTTTTAGCTAGATAAAATAAAATAATCAATAACAATAATATTAATAATAATAATTGATACAAAAAAATTATAATACCATGTCTAGATTTTAGAAAAAAGTAAAATGAAAGAAACAAAATAAAAATTGAATAAAACGAAAATTCAAATAAAAATTTTTAGAAAAAAAAACATTTGAAACTTATTTGAACAAAATTCTAAATTGAAATATTATTTTTTTTTTGTTTTTGCAATTTTGTTAATTTTTAATATCGTATGACAAATAAACATATAAAATTTTTGCAATTCACATTTTACGAGTTGTTTGTACGAGCATTAAATGAAAACCCATAAAATATATTTTCGGGGAATTTTTGTCGATCAATTTTTTCGTAAATTTTTTTTTTTTTTTAAGTAGGTTTTTTAATAAACATTTTGCCTTTTTTTACACTAGCAATATGTTGCTCCTTAATTATTAAATAACGTCTTTATAAATAATTTAAACTAATTTTCAAAATTAATCTTTAATTAGATTTTTATAAAAAAAAAATTATTTTTATCTTATCCTCAAAAGTCCTATTGATCTACATATGCTAATTAAATTAACATGTAAATATATATACGTATTTATATAGATATTTAACTGCAAATTGCTTTACACCTACATTATAGGTGTTATATTTGATAATAGAGTAATATCAATATTGTTATCAGTTATAAGTATTTATATATATGACATACAGACCAATAGTTATACATTTTTGAAAAACACAATTTTTAATAAACTAAATACTTTCCGAAACTTATCAAAAATTTGTAATAATTAATTGATTTATATTATTCATAGCATTACAAAATTATTTCGGAAATTAACTTCATTTAAAATATTTTAAAATAAATACATATATTTATTATTATTACTTATAATAAATTCTTAAGAATCAATTTTTAGTTCTTATCGATAAAATATTCTAATAGCTTACAAAATTTACTGATATTAATTCTACTATCAAATTTAGATTAACTAAAAAATTTGTTTATTATTTATTAATTTATTAATTTGTATAACACTATATTTGTTTTCAGTAAATTTGTTTGGTCAAATCAAATTTAATTTAAAATAAATAACTTAAGAAAGTGAATCTTGTTACGGCTCAAAATTAGAAACTTATTACTAGTAACTTACAACAAAAAAAATTTAGTTTTAATTAAAATTTTAATTATGTATTGAGATTTTCTATTCATAATGTTAAGGTTAACTGGCTATTTAAACATTCTACAAATATTAATTTTTTTTTTAGATTCTTATAAAACATGTTTAAATTGAAGAAAAATATTCAAATTTTTTATAATTGAATATTAAATTTCGAAATTTTTAAAGAACTAATGATATTGTACACCTGCATCATTTTTTAATATATTATTTTTCTGTTTAAGATGAAAAATATTTTCTGTACGTGCCTTATGTGGAATATACTATTGCATTACTATAATAGTTTAATAATATTTTGATTTTTTAAGATTAGATTATCTTCTCGGATTTATTTGATTTGGTCTCTGTCTTTTCTGTGATTTAATATTTACTGAATATTATTCAATATTTAATTATCATATGTGTTCATTGTCATGGTGTAGGTGTAAGATTCTTAGTGAAAATTTTCCATTAATTTTTATCATTCAAATTCATTTAATTTTTTGTTATTATAGCTATTTCATATATCAAACACACAAGAATAACAAAAAGGCAATTTGAAAAAAAACCTCAACCATATAGTTTAAATGGCCATTTAAATGACCTGATTACATAAATAATATAACAATAAGTAGAAGTTACTCTAGAATTTAAACTTGATAATGGAATTTCGTTTCTATTATTTTTCAAATACGCACGCTTATTTGATTGTAATTTGAACTACTTTTTTTCATTGTAAAATTTTTATTTTCATTTTTGTTTTTGCTTTCTTATTCATTATTTATTTTCTTTATGATTATTTTTTTTAATTTCTTATCGTTTATTTAAATGCTCCTTTAAATTTAAAGTCTATACGTACTGTATGTATGACTTGTTATCTATGGTGCAATGAAATTTGCATTAGTGTTGAAAACTATCAAGTATATATTATGTATTTTTAATTTAATTTTTACTTGCATATTTACAATATGATTACGAATGAATGTGGTTACCATATTTTGAAAATATGAAATTACGTAGGTACAAACTGATTAATAAGGAAAATAATATGAGCTTCATTTCAGAAGAATGGTATCAGTTTATTATATAATTTGATAAATAACATTTAGAACTGCACCTACATATGTACCTACATATGCAAAATGTTAAGTAATATTTTAAAAGCTAATATCCGCATACCTCCAGTATGAGAAACTCGAAATAGTATATACATAAAACAATCAATTTTTAAGATGCGATTAAATAACTTTAATCATTTACTAATTCTAAATAGAAAAAGGATTAGAAATTCATTAGAAAAAAGATCAATAAGAGGATGAAGATCAGAAACAGCTGTTATTGTTTCCTTATCAGTTCATAGATACAAAAGTTCAAAAAACAATCATTTTTAGTTCAAAAATTCACCCAAGCCTCTATGTTACAAAAATTAACTTAGGTGAAATATCGCATTCTATATAGTTTATGCATAATTTTTGACGAAGCACTTTATTCCGTACCAAAGATTTAATGACAATAGAATCTTGATGAAACACCAATATTCTAATTTTGGTTAACAGATATACAGAATTTGTATGTTTTAATAGCTTAGAAATTTAATCGCAGATTGCCTTTCTTATGCCAAAGTCTTTAAAAACATTTCAAAAGTCTTAAATGACATAAGACAAAGTGTATAATTAATTTATTATTCTAGTTTTAAAATTCAATTCACATTTCCTGATTAATATTAATTGGAATGTTGTTGAAATTTTTAGTCAGACCTAAACCAAAAATTTACATTAATGCTATTACTAAAGAAAATTGTCGTATTCTTATTGTAAAAGGTAAGAAAATAATAAAAATTTCAATTAAAAATTTTGTTTACTGGATAATTTTTAAATAAATAAATGAAAGAAGTCTATTAAGAAAAATGTAACTTCTGATATGAAATTATACTTTACGAGATTTAAAAACACGAGAGTTCCTGAAATATTTCTACTGCCTCATGTTACTGTTAATAAGATTGATTTATTTTAATTAAATTGCACTGTTGAAAATTTTTTAATATAAAAGTTGTTAGTAAAATGCACATTTATATTTTTCTAGCTTAATTTAATAAAGATAAATAGCGTAAAATACTCAATTCTAATCTAATTTAAAGCGAATATTCGAATTAGGTAACTATTGTAAGCTTTTGACTGATCTATTGGCTGAGTGGCCTACTACAAGCATTATATTAACCAGAATTATTAAATAAAAATTCAAGTACGGTGAGATGATCCCATAATTTTGTATTAGTTGATGAGAGTAACTAAAAAAATATATTCAAAATTCAATTAAAATAAATTATGTAAATTCAAATTTCATCATTAATTTCAAATGTAATTTTTATAAATGACAATGTAATTTTTTATTTTTCAAGAATTTTCATCTTAATAGTATTAAAAATTTTTTTAATTCCTCCATATAATCATCAAAAAATATAAATTTTAAAGCTGCATGTACTCATTATTATTCACCTAAATTTTCAAAAATTTCTTTAAGAAGGTTTTCACTTAATTTAAATAATGCGCAAATTTTGCTTTCCTCTAAAAAAAAAAAAATAATTAAAGTATTTTTAAAAAATTTATTTTAAAATTCAAAAAAACTAAATTAGGAATAAAAATATTTGCATATTTTAAAAAATGAAAATCAATTTGTAAGAAAAAGAACTTTCTCAAAAAAATTTTTTATGCCTAAGTATATAAGTATGCGATCTATGTATATCACAGGCACTCGCGCACACAATTTGAATATTTATATGCAAAGATAGATAAAACAAGACACCGTGTGTGTTATATGTCCAATTTATGAATTTAATAGTTCTTCATCATATACTCACACCTCACTTTCGATCGTTTTTATCATCAATAATCGGTGGTCCTACCTATAAAGTATAATAATAATAAAAAAATTAAAACAACAAAAAAAAATAAAATAATTTTTGATTTCTTTAACCTAAAAACTCTTGGTGTCTGCTATATACGAACATTTCAATTCATCATCATATATTTACTTATAAAAATAATGGTTAATGAATAATAATAATAAAAAAAAACTAAAAAAAAAAAATAATAGTAGTAAGTAATGATGATAATAACAAATATAATGCCTCCTACTTACCCACTTTCCATTTTTAGGAGTCTAATAAAAAAAAAAAAAATAAAAAACAGAGAAAACGAAATGCAAATATTTTGATCCGAATACAAAAAAAAGTTAAAATAATATACGCGATATAATTTTTTATAATAAAACATAATGTAAAAATATTGCGTCTGCACTCATTCCATATTAAAAAACGTACAGCGTCAAACAATTTATGCGTTAACGCTACCTATATTTCATGCGACACTAGGTGAGAATTTTTAAAATATCATTATCAGTTTCGGATGTATAATTTACTTAAGAGCGTTTTTCTCATTTCTTATCAGATTTTGTCTGATAAAAAATGTAAATACGTGAAGTTCAAATATTACGATATTTAAATTTTGTAAATTTAATTATGGATTTTTAATTTTAATTCGAAATCAATAATTTTTTG